ACCATCTTACAATTGTAACAGATATGCATGAGATGGTTCTTAGCCATGGAAGTTAGTTATTTTGATTGGTTGAATATCTTGAGGACTGAACAGCTTAAAGAGCAAAACTGGCCAGGAAGGGCTTAGGTAGTTAATGGGACCAGCATTATGATGTGCTCCCATTTTGTTTTTCCTCAGATTGCCTGGGTGATTAGGTGAAGTTTCTATGAAAGCATGTCCTAGCTAGGGAAGTTGTCACACCATCTGGAATATACAACACATATCAGCATTTCAGTTCTGTTACTTCCTTGCCTTTTTTATGTAAAATGAAGCCATCTCTTAAAAAAAGTTTAAAGGGAGATGCTGTCCCCATATGTATAAAGAGTTTTCAATTTTACTCATTTATCAATCAAGGCATTATACTAATATGCTGATTTATTTCTTGGTAGTTGTGAATTAAGGCTTTATAGTAAATCAATGAAAGTCAATCTACATATTAACTCCCTTTAGGAATCAAGTAATGTTATTTTTTCCTTAATATCAGCAAACCAAATTACTTCAAAAAGACAAAAAAAAAAAAGTATCCTTCAATCTTGTTTGAAACCTTGAAAAAAGAAAGCCTTGTTCAGATCACAATTAATTTTCCCTCAGGACACAGATCACAATTTAAATCTACATTTATCCTTTCTACGAGCAAAGAATAGTGAAGACTATTTTAGGCAAGGATAATATTGTACGAAATAATCAACATATAAATGAAAAAGGAGGGAAATTAAATGGCTATTAATAGTGTTGTTTCTCAAAATTTGCTCTAGGATTACAGCAGTGTTCTACCATTATTATTGCTGGATATAAATGTTCAATATATAATAGAAAACTGAATGTATTTAGTGAGAGGCAATAGCATTTTGGATACGTATCTTAAGAAAGTTTTTCTCAATTTCAACAATTTAAGATGTGTGCATTTCAACTATTCTAGAATTCCCTAGCCAGTATTTTGCTTGGGGAATTCTGGGAGTTGAAATCCACTCATCTCAAAATTGCTAAGGGTGGTAAACACTGTTCTAAGAAGACATTTATGTACTGTATGTATAAAAAGTCTATACACTAAACACAAGATGGACAATCTATGAGTTTAGATGCTGATCAAAACCAATTTCTTATTTTCCTTGGCCAAGTTGGTTGGCATTGCAGTCTAACACATCTGAGTATTGTAGAATGTGTGCTATTGCAATATATAAGGATTGTTTACTTGCCCGATTTGTTTAATAAAAGTGGAAACAATTTTTAACATTCTCACTTCAGTGATTTAAAAAGGGTTTTTTAAATGAGAATTGTTACAAATAATGTACATTTCTTTTGTTCCTTAGGATGTGAATTTTTTGCTGTATGTTTGTTCCACATCTGGAGACACTCTAGTTATGGGTTTTTTTAAAATGAAAACCAGACAGGGTGATTCCCTTCCTACAGTTCTGTTCAAGAGATGTTTTAAGTAATGCTCATAAACCAGTTGTTAGCCATATATGAGGAAGTCCATCTGAAGCTATAACCAGCCTTGCTGAGTTTCATATTACAGGACACTGTCTGACTCTTCAGATAGAAATTGTGAAAACATTTGCTCAGGAAAAAAGTGATTACAATAAGAGGAAAATACTTTTAAAAGACAATTTTTAAGTATTGTAGTAGACTTTGGAGATAAACAGTGGCATTTTAGGGTGTTTCAGTCATTCAGAATGAAGGTGACAGCTTCTCTTAAATTCAAGATCTTACGATGAACAACTTCTAAGAGAGTTGTTTAGGTTATTCCCATGCTGAATTCTTTCACGGTTCTGACCTGATTTATTGAATAAAACACTATGTCTGTGTTGTTACAACATGCAAAGTCAAAGAAACCACAGTACTGTATGGATTAGTATGTTGTGTGAAACAACCTTATGTGGGTAAAAAAGTAATGATCAATTACATGCCCAGTCAGGGCCCTAAAAAACCTATCTCTGCATTCTTTTGTAAACTGTACTCGCTCATGACATATAGAGTTCTGCAGTAGTTGCACTGAGGTTCCCCAAAGATGAATCAATGAAGCTAAAACATGTGAACACCCCTGATTTTGAACATGGCTTTTAAGAGCGAAAATTCAATATTTATGTCCAACATTGCCATTCTCCAATTCCTTTCAGGTTCTTGAGGCAACAGTCGGCTTACTCTGCTACAATTTTAGGCTTCCTAACATCTGTTGAACTTCAGCAACTAAAAGAATGCTTACTTAGCGATAGCAGGTCAAACTGCATAACTGGATTGCCATAATAGGCTAAGCCCAAATCAAACAAACCACATTACAGCTGCCTGTGATTTGTGGATCCAAGCTGCAGGTCAGATGTACAGAATATCAGTGCAACTGCTGACTGTTGGGGCCTCCCTAAACATTCCTCCTACACTCTGTAATTGTACTTTGAAAGCAAACTTTCCATGATTCCAACAGGAGGTATTTATCAAACCTGATTGCAGTAGCTCCTACGTGTTTTGTACATGAGGGTGTCTGGGAAGGAGATGTGTGAGCATGGAGAGCATTTGGCTTTGGCCCCACACCTTTCAGGCTTTGGCCTTGCACTAGTAGGGGATATGAACAGTGTTTTCAGAACATCGCTGCAAAAAAGCTTTCCATGACCATATAAGATACTAGGAGTTGGTATTTGTGTTTCCCAGTGTAGTATGGCATACATGCAGTAGAAATTGGGGGTGCATTTTCAATTTGCCTTCTTTAACTAGACGATGGAGTATCCTAAATCTCTGTTCTCTAAGGAAATGGCTTTAAAAATTAATTGCTTTACTGTCTGGAAAACATTGCTTGGTCTGAGAGAAAGAATATTAGAACGTGAGCCAAAGGATTTTTTTTTAATAGCATGAGATACCTCTGTCATTGAGAAACAAACATATTATGCCTGTTACGTCTACAAAAATTTACTAAGAATATCATGCTAGTAAGACTTAGAGAAAACTTATTTTAGTTTTTGTAAGCTTTCTTACAAAAACTTTGAAGAATCTATTATTTCTATAGATTTATGGATACAGATGTCCTGTTTTCCTGACAGAGTAAAAAAAAAAAAAAAAGAACAACAGAAATTTGGGTTTTTCTAAATTTTTCTAGTAACCTTAATATTTTCCCAAGTTTAGCAGAATAAATTCCTCTCTGCTTTGCTGTATTAATTCCTGGACTTTTTTTTGCACAGCAGCTGGAATCCAGAAAGTCATCTGTGCTTTAGAAATGGAAAAAAATTGTAGCATTTTTATAACATTATTCATGACAAATAAAATTGCCTGAGTGTCTGCACAAATATATAAAATCTTTGCTCAGATTTGATCAAATGCACATGGAGCTTGTTTAATATGTACACACACTGAATTAATTATTGTATCAGAAATATTTGGGAAGAACGTAATGGTTATAGTATTGGTCTGAAAAAATGAACCAGTAAGTAGAACTTTCCCCATAAAAAAAATATTAATGCTACAAAAATGTATGTAAACAGAACTCTCTGGTCTAGAAGCTGAGACTATAGTCTGTGATCATCTTCTTTTCCTTTTCTTCTTTTGAAATATTTCTGGATTGTAAGGTTCTCCATGGTTGCGTCGTGAATTGTGAAACATCTCAGTTAGGATAAAGGACACAGGGATGTGAGGTGAGAAGGAAAAACTGAAATAGGAATACAGGTAAATCTCAAAGCACTGAGAGTTACATATTTTAAAACATTTCCTTAGTATGCAGGGTCTCTAAAATAATTCTCAGACCTCCTAACAGGACAATTTTCATTGTGTCATCAGACTGTGAACAATTTGATGGATGTACTGATTGGAAAACTAATTCTATGCTACTAATATCAATTTACTGCATTCCTGAATCTATGAGAAATAGGATTTAAGTACTAAACTGAAAGTGTCAGGTGAGCATACTTTCACGGTTAACATTAATTTTTTTTCCTCTTGTTAAATCTAACAAGTGCACAATATTATTTATTTTGAAAAAGTTTTTTTTCCTGAATAATCATTGAGAATATACATTATTTCCCTCCAACTTAATGTTGCTTAGTCTAATAAATTTCTGTCAGCGTCATGACAGGGCACACAGTCCCTTGAACATTAATTGAGGTTTGTTTCTAGAATGCAAAACCAAGGAAAGGTGCTATAGAATTAGGTGATTTCCATTAATCACACAAATGTGAATATTCTTTCATTGTGCCATAGGCCCTCCAGATCTTAAATATTAAAAGATAAGACAGTGTGTGCAAAGAAGGGGCCATATTCTACATAGAGGAGAATGGGAAGTCTAGTCAATGACCACATTTTGTTATAAGCAGGGGAATATTGCCTGGTTACATTTTGTAGGTTGATTGTGATTTGGGAGGAAGTTGGAGGGAGATTTTTTTGTTTCTTTGTGATGGGCCTGTTTTAGGGTTTACAGTAGTCTGAGCTTGATTGTTTTCTTGCAGACATTTCATTATCCAAGAATCCCTCATTTCAACCCTGAGCTACAAATATTCTCCTTTATTGGTTAAAGGAGTCTTTATCTGTTTCCAGCCTAAGCATAGCAGGAAACTGTGATGTCATTTTTCAGCAATTGTGGTCAATCAGAGTTTGGGGGAAAGGCACAAAGGGGAATTGGGAGGTCAAAAGTGGCCTCCTTTACTACGTATGTTTTGAGATAAAAGATTGCCATAAGGATACCGAGTAGATTAAATATATGTTTCTTTTAAATAACAGGATATGCTATGACACTCTGAAGGAAGGTGTCCTACAACCTATTAGAGAAAAACTCTGAGAATTCCTGAGAGGCACCGGAGAGCAGGAAAAGTAGGGAACTCATTCAAAATGGAGAATCATAATTAAAATACATGTGTGCTTAATCTCTCACAGTTGCATAATTACAATAGCTAGAAAGGACAGAGGTGCTAAAAGTATTGCACTTTGAGTGGTAACTTTTGTTTTTGCAATAATTATGGCACAAACATGTAAAACCAAACACAGTCTTAAAAGAGGGGAGGTTTTTATCATTCCAACTTAGCTAAAGATAGCCGTGACAAAGTTCCAAAGAGAACAACAATGTTTTTTCATAACTATCTTTTCCAACAAGTTTTCAAGGAGTTAAAATTAAACTTACTCTGAATTAGACCCCAGGATGTTTGACATCAACAACAAATTTAGACTTGTTACTTGCCTTGGGATTTCTGAACGCTACATACATATCACTCGCTCAGTAACCTGAAAGGCCAGAGAGTGATGATTTTATGCAGTTTTCAGAAGTTGAAGAGTTGAGTAAGGCTGCTAAAAGATATCATATAGGGACCAACGTAATGGCCAAAGTCTATGTTGCTACTCCTGGTATAAGAAAGGTATAGTTGCATATGCGGACAAACTGTGCACATGTACATACAAACAATTTTAATCTTTTGTTTCAACAACAAGTATGACTCTCGCTTCAAAAAAAGGCAGGGTTAGTATGCTCTATAATGCAGCGCTTACAATGGCGCTTAACAAACCGCAAAGCTTCCACTGAAATCTCACAGTCCTGAACGTTCAGCATCTGCAGGTCAAAGCAATTGGCTGCTACAATCTGCAGGCCTTGTCCGGTGACACTTTCGCATGACTTCAGGCTCAGTCGCTTCAAGTTGAAGCAGTTCAAAGCCAGGAACTCCAAGCCAATGTCAGAGACCAGAGGGCATTTCCCAATGTCCAGTGACTTGAGTTTTGTGCAATTTTTGGCCAGGTATTCTATTCCATGGTCTGTGATGCCTTCACAGCCTCGTGCATTGAGGTAACGCAGCTTGCTGCAGTACTTAGTAATGTATCGGAGACCGACATCAGTGATGCGGACACAGTGGGCGATGCTGAGATAACGCAGGCGGAACTCCAGCTTTGCAATCTCACGCATGCCAAAGTCACTGATGAAGCGGCAGTCGCTCACGCTCAACTCCCTGATGGAAGGGCAGTAAATCATCAGGTACCGGAGGCCTTCATCGGTAATGCGGATGCAGCGGCGCAAATAGAGATGTGTCAACTGAGTGCAATGGGTGGCAATGGTGTGCAGTCCTTCATCCTCAAGGACAAAACAGTCACTCATGTCCAAGTAGCGAATAGAAATCTGCTTGCCGTGTAAAGGAGATAACTTGATGGAAACTTCGCGGGATAAGCTGATGCACGTCACTTTGGAACAACCTATATTGGAAAGAGGAGAAAAATTGTTAACAAGGACGGTCCACTTCCCCTTTATATAAATGAACTTAGTGATATAGGATTTTCATCCCAGGAATGACTGACCGGAGCTTACTCAGTCAGCCAGCAACATTCTGCCTAAATTCAGTAGTTAAACTCGTGAAGGCTAAGCAACATTACTCAGTTTGTATTTTTTAAAAAAAAGTTTAAAGGTCTTTGAAAAACTTACCAGATTTCAATCAAATCTGATGTGGCTCAGACTATATACTAATACAGGTAGTCCTCAAGTTATGACCACAATTGACCCCAAAATTTCTGTTGATGAGTGAGACATTTGTTAAGCGAGTTTGGCTCCATTTTTCCACCTTTCTTGCCACAGTTGTTAAGTGAATCACTGCAGTTGATAAGCTATTATACGGTTGTTAAGTGAATTTGGCTTCCCCAATGATTTTGCTTGTCAAAAGATTGCCAAAGGTGATCACATGACCTTGGGACACAGCAACGGTCATAAATATGAGTCAGTTTGCCAAGCATCTGTATTTTGATCACATGATCATGGGGATGCTACAAAGGTTATAAGGGTGAAAAACGGTCATGTCACTTTTTTTCAATGTTCTTGCAACTTTGAACGGGCACTAAATGAACTGTTGTAAATTGAGGACTACCTGTATACACTTGTTACCGTAATCTTGAACTAATTTTAAGCAAAACGGTGCATCACAGCGCAACAAATTTTGAATCAAGGTAAATGAGCTAATTTACAGAATGCCTCCAAAATCTGAGACCCATGATTCCCATGGAACTAAAATTTGGCAAATTTTATAAAATGAACTATGCAGGGGTGAAATGCTACTGCTTCGTTCTGGTTCGTGCATAGTAAAAAAAAGCTACTGCTTCGGTCGAACCGGTAGTTTAAAACAGCTACGATCTGACAATCACCTGTGCCGCACAGATTAGCTTTGCTAGAAAGTAGGATTTCTTAAACCGCATGCCACAGCTGATTCCCCTCAACCCCCACTGTTCTACTTACCTTCCCAAGCTTCCTTTTGGTGTGGTAGCTTTTAAACTACCAGTTCGCCTGAACTGGTAGCTAACTACCAGTTAGCTTTTTAAATGTGCAGTGCGCGTTCAGTGCACATTGAGCATGCACACAATGCGCATTTGGTGCGCATGCATGCAGCACGCACTTGGTGCGCAGCTCGCATGCACGGCCAGTGAACCGGTAGCAAACCGGTTCAGATTTCACCCCTGGAATTATGCTGTAAAAAATCATAAAACAGAAATGTCATGAAACATTTCCTGTGCTACACATTTCAACATGGAGCATTTTCAAGACAGATACATATCTGAATGTATCCCAATTTTTCCAGTAAAGACACCACTGAGGATTCTGATAAAGAAACATATCTGGAAAGATGACCCAATGAGTCACACTTTAAAATAAAATCATGTAATATTTCCTTTGCTAAACTGCAGACAATATTCAGGAAATGTGTCTAGTTGATGTCTATCAATTTTAGGTAATGTCACACCTGAATTCCTGAGTTGATTAAAGCTTTCTTCATGCTTTATTGTGGGAACTGATGCATGGCATGGATAGCAAAATTAACTTCTGTCCTGGACTAGTATTATCCAGAAATTAATCTCTAAAAATATAGAAACTGGCTATTATTTATACATAATTCATTGGGCCATGAGAATGAGAAAAGGAAAAGACTGATTCACGTGCTGCTGATATTCTTAGGAAGGTGCAGATGATAGATAGGGCTAATGATAAAACTGACACCATCTGGATAGAGAAGAGAAAGGAAGAACAACTTTTTTTCAGTCCCTGGAGACAATATCTTGAAAGAAAGACTCTGACAATGGGTCTGGTCAAAACACCTCCAACTTGTTTTGGTTCTCAGTGATAACCACCAGAGGTAGTATTCAGCAGGTTCTGACCAGTTCTGGAGAACCGGTAGTGGAAATTTTGAGTAGTTTGGAGAACCGGTAAATACCACCTCTGACTGGCCCCACCCCCATCTATTCTCTGCCTCCTGAGTCCCAGCTGATCGGGAGGAAATGGAGATTTTACAGTATCCTTCCCCTGTCACGCCCACCAAGCCACACCCAAGCCATGCCACGCCCACCAAGCCACACCCACAGAACCAGTAGTAAACATTTTTGAATCCCAGCACTGATAACCACCACCTCAAACCATCCCTCCTGCTTCTTTCCCACATTTCCCTCTTACGAACTTCAACAAAGAAATGAGGAGGTATAGGAAAGAAACCAGGAGTTGAAACAATAAAACACCTGAGGTGGGGATGATAATAATCATTACTATTTGATGGAGCTTTCTCTTTTTTTATGTTCTTTATTTAGTCAGATGGACACATCCATCTATTTAATCTTCTCCCTCTCCCCCTCTCTTTTTCTTCCTCCTTCTAGTTCCCCAATTTTGTTTCTCTTTCATTCTCCATGAAAATGTTGTCAGTTCACTGGACACCTGCAGACCACAGCAACCTTCTTGCTATTTTTGCCAGAGGAAGACAACAGAGAAACAGACCAAATGGCAAATAGGCCATGGCTGAAATCCAATTTTTTCCCCTACTGGTTCTGTGGGCGTGGTTTGGTGGGCGTGGCAAAATCTCCATTCCCACCCCACTCTAGGGGAAGGATACTGTAAAATCTCCATTCCCTCTCCACTCCAGGGGAAGGTTACTGCAAAATCCCCATTTTCTCCCAATCAGCTGGGACTCGGGAGGCAGAGAATAGATGGGGGCGGGGCCAGTCAGAGGTGGTATTTACCGGTTCTCCAAACTACTCAAAATTTCCACTACCGGTTCTCCAGAAGACCCTGTTATTAAGCTGGTTATTAAGACCAGCTGCCTGCAATTACTGCAGGTTTGAATCTCGCCAAGGCTCAAGGTTGACTTAGCCTTCCATCCTTTCTAAGGTAGGTAAATTGAGGACCCAGTTGTGGGGGCAATAAGCTGACTTTGTATAAATATACAAAAGGATGAAGGCTGAGCACATTGTAAGCCGCCCTGAGTCTCCGGAGAAGTGCGGCATATAAGTCAAATTAAAAAAAAAAAAAAAAAGGACACTGCAAAATCTCCATTCCCTCCCCTCCTGGGGGAAGGGTATTGTAAAATTTCCATTCCCACCCCACTCTGGGGCCAGCCAGAAGTGGTATTTGCTGGTTCTCTGAACTACTCAAAATTTCTGCTACCGGTTCTCCAGAACTGTTAGAACCTGCTGGATTTCACCCCTGAAATAGGATGAATCGCAATGATGCTTGAAAGTTTAATCATAAAGCGTGTTTGAGTCATGAAGCATAGCCTTTCCAAAAACAACGTGCAGCTTTATAAAGTTGATGTGCTCCAGAGTTGACACTCCAAACTTATATTTATATTTGCCTCCTAATCTTCTTCGTTTTCTCCTGGAAGATCGCAATGGCTGACTTCAGTAATGCCAAGTTTGGCTTCCCAGTCTGTATGGTCTGCAGACTGTTGGTTACTTCCTGAAGCAAAGTTAGAAGGTGAAATCATGCTTGGCTGATGGATACTGCAGAATTCAGGGCTACTTATAATCCTGAATCCATTTAAATAGTGTCCATCCCAACCTTTTAAAATAGATTCTATAGTTTAGTTAGTATATTTACCTACACTATGTCTGGAAGCATTTTATCTACCCTGAATAATAATAATAATAATAAAACATACATGTTCTTGGCAACAGTCTTTCCATAGAGAAAATGTAAACGATTTTAAATCAAATGAGAAAGTTTCAGGGAACTTTGAAACTCTGAATAAACTTTGGCCAGTTATGAGATAATGGGTCATAGTCTAGTCCATCTGTGTAGGCGCTCTGCTGAAAACTGAGAGAGACCTTTTAAAAATGTGGAAAATCTGATATCCAACTTTTCTGTGGTTTTTGACATAATGGTATAATTTCTAGGATGCATTATTCATAAGATCCCACAATGACTTTTCAAAGTAAACTAGGTCTCACGTGAGGCCTGCAAACTAGTCTAACATATAAGTTGTCATGTTGATACTAATAAAATCCCATTTTATATGGACATCTATTCTATGCCAAACATTTGAAGAGTTAAAGCCAGCTAAAACCAAAGACTTGTCCCAAAGCATGTATACAGGATTAATTCCTTATATACACACTTGGAAATATGTAAGTGCAAGCTATACCTAACAGAATATTTCTATAATGATTACACTATAGCTATACACTCCAAAAATTATGCATTCTTCTATTCCCATTTATCTCTCTCTCTCTTTTACATTATCTTGCATAAGTTCACTGAAAAGTTATGTACAGTATATATCACATTCAGGTCTGCTTATTTAGCAGAATTTTTGTTCCAATGGCTGAATGAAAGAACGTGTGTGATGCCCAGAGATATTTTGCTTCCTGAGAAATATATTTTTACATGATGTAAGAACCATACATTCGAAATGTAAAATGGCAAGTATGCCAGAAGGGTGGCAGCTAGCAAAAACTCTGTTATTATGAACTTTTGAGTCAATTTTGTCTCTTGGTGACTATGTGGATGACTCTATGCCGTTTTCTTGGCAGGATTTTTGAAAGTCCATTGTCAATACCTTCTTAAAGGATGTTTTTCAACTTCCCAAGGTAGGGTTGGGAGAAATGATTGCTTAAAGTCACCCATATGGCATCAGTGCCTAAGAATAGACTAAAACTCAAGTCTCCATAGTCTAGCATCTTTAACTGCTGCATCAAACTGGCTTTCTGTGGAAAACTTTGTATACAGTAGTCCTCAATTTACAACAGTTCATTTATTGATCATTCAAAGTACAACGGCACTGAAAAAAGTGACGCATGACCGTTTTCCACACTTACAACCTTTGTAGCAGCCCTATGATCATGTGATAAAAATTCAGATTCTTGGCAACTGACTCATCCTTATGACCACTGCAGTGTCCCAAGGTCATGTGATCACCTTTTGCACCCTTTTGACAAGCAAAATCAATAGGGAAGCCAGATTCACTTAACAACCATGTTACTAACTTATCCACTACAGTGATTCACTTAAGAACTGTGGCAAGAAAAGTCATAAGATTGGCAGGGAGAAATACACTTAACAAATGTTTCACTTAACAACAGTAATGTTGGGCTCAACTGTAGTTGTAAGTCAAGGACTTCCTGTAATTAATATTTTACAGGTCAGCTATCTGTTGGTACCATGAATATGTCCCAAAATCAGTTATATGCAGATATACATGCATACTCACAACATTTTCCCAATGTTAGAAAACACTGGTGTCCAGGGATAAAAATTTCTGTGTCCCACATCTGCTCCTGGCAAGATTTGTCTGTTGTGTGTAAATTTTGTAATCCACTTATAGTGTTTTCTGCTGGCTTTATGTAGTCTTTGTTCCTAGAGCTCTATGCTGCTATACATGTATTCTTTCTAAAGCAATTCAGTGAGATTTCAAAACATTCTGAATCAAAGTCCTTGCAGGCAGTGAGTTGAATTTATTTCTTTTCCTTTCCAAAACCAACAACTCCTAATGACAAATATTCTTACTTCCTGCTTGTTTTTCTGTAAGGGCTTTTACTTTTATCTATGAAACAATCTGAAGGAACTGCTTGTTTGGGGATCAAAAGTAAATGAATGGTGCTTTACATCAGGTTGCAATGCTGAATTTTCTCTACCCTATAATATGGCATTAAGCTAGCCTCAGGAAGCTGCAATTGTGCGAAATACAGAATTGATCTACTGGCAAGTGACTGAAACTAGGTTGCTGAAATGCGTTAAAATAATCTGGGGTAGGTGGAGGGGGGAAAGGAGACGACGTTGAGGGAAAGAATGTCTGTGCCCATGTATGCATATATCATATCATATCATATCATATCATATCATATCATATCATATCATATCATATATCTTGTCTCGTCTTATCTCCATCTCTCCATCTCTTTCTCTCTTTCTGTCTCATCTCTACACACACACACACACACACAAGCATACACACATTTGCTAGTTTGGGCATTTTTCTCAGCAGAGGGCAGTATTGCTTCCCAATAACATCACACTGAGAAAATCTGAGAGTGAATTCTGCAAGGATGATTGTGGCTGCAAACATAGCAAAGTGCGTTGTGGCAAGAAACACTATCACTTTTAAAGAGGTCATATAATGTTTCTGGGACAGCATAGAGACCTGAGGATCAAAGCTTACTGTTACTGACTTGCCTTTCTTTTACTTTCTCCTTTCTTTGACTTGCAAGTCGAAAGTGGCATACCCTAAATTTATCCTACCTGATGTTGCCTTCTACTTCCTCCAATCCAGAAAATTAATTTATGATCAAAGTTGATTATTCTCTTTATAAGCAGACTAAATGGATAAATTGGATATTCCTGTTGAAGTGAGCCCTGGTCACATCAGAATTTCCATAAGGAAATTCCATAAGGAAATAAGGACGGTAGTAATTTTTTATTGGTTTATTCTGCCTTTTCTGCAAGACCTCCCAGGACAATATAGGGCATTCCCTCCTTCACTGTTTGCCAACAACTCATCTGGAAGTTCAGTTGGGTTGAGAACAAAATAACTGACCCTACGTTATCCTGTGAATTTCCATGGGAAGACTTGGGTCTCTTTGCTCATAGTTCAGAAATCGTAACCACAACATCACACTTCTTTTATAAAATGTTGTGGCATGTAAACACTAACACATTGGTACAATGCACACATAATGAAATGGACTGGGATCGGCAAATGCTTGTGCAATAATATGTGACTGTTTAAAGAATTGCAGGGACTTTTGTTGTTCTGACACGCTAAACCTGGCACTCTTTAAAGATTCATGCTCAATTACAAACCCTTTGAAGTATTTAATGGTACAGAGTACAATTTTAAATGCAAGATTAAAATTGAGATTTAAATGCAAGATTATTTGGAGAAATCCATAATATTATTTTTTTAAAAAGCAGAGAAAGAGAAAAAGAGAGAGAGAGTGAGAAAGAGAGAGAGCACAGAGATATTCTAAAAATGTTAGTTACAGAGTGAAAAAGTTACTATCAAGACTGTGATCAAAAATATTGAGAATATTTTCTCCATTAAATTTGACATGCTTTTTTCCAAAACTTTCCAGCCAGAGTGTAAATGTAGACTTTTTCTATTACCTGATACATCTAAATGTTCCAAGTTTGGACACAAGGACACTACATCAAAAACCGCCTCATTGGAAATGTTGTAGCAACCAGATACTTCCAATTGCCTCAGTTCTGGGCAGCATTGAGCAATGGTGTAAAGTCCTCGGTCTGTGAGCCGCCTGCAGCCACTAACAATTACCGTCTCCAGCATGAGACAGACGTTTGGGGTGTCCTGGCAAAGTCGTCGTGTCAGCACCTTCAGAGCCCTGTCCACATTGATTGTCTCCCCTATCAGGCGAATAGTCCTCCAAAGTCGCGGGTCCCAAGCAAGATTATACCAACGGCGGCACACGCGAGCACAGCGGCACAACTGGTTGGTGGGCAAAAAAGAAAATATCTGGATCACAGAAAGGTCGGGAAGCCGGTTGATATTGGCCTGTTCTTTTTGAAGCCGAGAGGCAGCATGAATGAAAGGGTGGGTGAGGCAAGTGGAAGGAGGCGAGTGAACCATTGCAATGGTCTCTCCGGTGACTGAAGAAGAAGATGTAGAAGATTCTTTTCCATTTTGCAAGCTGTGTGAATTTGGTGGACATATTAGCGCAGGACTGGGAGTACTCAGAGTGCGCATGCTCAGGTCGGAATCTGAAAGAAACCAAAGGACACAATGGTGAGACTATTTCATAAATTGGAAGCCATGTTCTGCATCAACATGAAGGGCTCCCAAGGATGTTCATGCTAAAAGAAGGCTACATGCATAAAAACAGATTCTGTCTGCATTTATTATCAGTAGTTGCCAAGCTCAGACTAGTGCCTGATGGATTTTTTAAACAAACAAAAAACTATCACCAACTTTTTATCAATTTGCTTCCTACAATTATTTTGCAAAACAATGTGAAAATACGTGTTGAGTTTAGAACTGAGAAACACAGCAGTGCTTTGCTGAGTACTTAGCATGAGTGATTTCCTGGAACAGTACTGTCAGGTACCCTGCAACACCCAAATCAGAGTTCTTCATCCAAATCCCTCCCACATGTGTCAACGCTACAATGGCCAGAATTTTTGTAAGACAAATATAGTTGGAGATTCTGGGATCTGGATTCCCAGCATATCTGAAGGGTACTAGTTAGGAAATCTCATTTTGTCTTGGAGATTATTTAAAACTGTAAGAATAGATTTATTTCCAATTATAGTATTACTTCTACTACCAAGAGGTGCATATAACTATGGAAACATGAAGCAAGAATTGAGATCCTAGAACAAATATATAATTTTTATTATTGGTACTATAAATGTAATCAAAAAGGGAATCTTCTAGCTATTAAATAATAACACTGAATCTTTTTTGAAAAAGAGATTACTCCTTCCCTAATAGTCCACTGAAGCCATAAAGTTGAAGCTCTTAAAAATTCATAATTATTTTATTCTCAGCTTTATATAACTATTATTTTAATTAACATGATACAAGTGAACATATGAAATTTCTGATACTAAGTCCAATTGGTCCATTTAGCTCAATCTTGCCGAGCATGAGCAGCAACAGCTGTCCTGGGTTTCTAGAAAAAGTAACCAGAGACACTTACACTGAAGTTTGGATGCCTGTATAGAGATAAAACCAAAGAATAGTAAGGTGGTTAAAAAAAAAAGACACCATCTTTTTGATATAGTGTGCCTGGTTATAAATACAATTTGTAATAGAAATAAATTCAAGAGATTGTTAGGAATTGTCACGTCTTCACAATTTATTCATCTAATTATTTGCATTTTTTCATTTATTTACACTGCAGTTTATTTAGATCAAAGTATAAATATAGAACATTAATGGCAATCTGTGGATTAAAATTTTAAGAAGAATGTAGCTAATACCTTCTCCTATGGAACAGTATTACAAAGCTTGAACACATCCCAGGTTTCCTTACCGCAATTGTGATGAAGCAATACATTGCCACCTTTCTGGAAATATCTGAAGATGTATTAGCTATTAGGAAAGATGCATTGGCTAATAATTTATTAACTAATAAAAAGGATGTCTACTCTTTCATGGTGCAATTTCATGCTGGAGCAATTAACAATATTAATTCAGAGCACCATATATAATGGACAACTTCAGAGAACACGAGATGTTGATTCAGCAACATGCAAGGACAGATTTGGTACTCTCATGCCCGGTGAAGGTAAAAACTTTTCTGTGAGAGACAGGAAAAATATTTAGGGATAGATAAAGCCTCATCCCAAAGATCAAGCGTTTGCATTTTATTGTTGCCATTGTTAGCATTCCACACTGGACATTAAAAAAAAAATTTTTTTTAAGGAATTAAAGTATAAAATTCCTTCTTCAACCTTTTAATCACTCTTCAGCATAGAAACACAGATACTGCAGTTTACGACTCAAAATTACACAGGGTGATCAGGTAAACATTTAACACATCTCTGGGGATGGATGGTTCTTTTCCCTATTGTGGCGAACATTGTTTGCCCAGGATGTGTGTATAGACCAGTGGTGGGTTTCAAATTTTTTTTACTACCGGTTCTGACGGTGTGGCTTGGTGGGCGTGGCAGGGGAAGGATTTCCTCCCGATCACCTGGGATCTGGGAGGCAGAGAATAGATGGGGGTGGGGCCAGTCAGAGGTGGTATTTACCGGTTCTCCGAACTACTCAAAATTTTCGCTACCAGTTCTCCAGAACTGGTCAGAACCTGCTGAAACCCACCTCTGGTGTAGACTCTTCCTCATTGATTTGCAGTCCTTTTAGACAACATCAAAGACAACAACAATTGGTTGTTAGCATAGACAACACCTCTTAGTTAAAGTGAGCAATATACACTTCTTATTATTCTAGCAGGCTGAGTTTCCTGCCCTTGAACTGAGTTGGAATCTTAATTTGGTGACCAGTGTGAAGGAAATATGTGAAACAGACTTCAAAGCAACAAAAATATATTGGGGTGGTGGATGTAAATACCTGGGTTTTTTTAAAAAGTAATTTTTGTCTGGAATGGAGATTATTGGGAGTTCAACAATTCAGGAATCCAAAGTATCTGGAATTTTCTTAAAATTCACAACACCTTCAATTAAAAAAAGATGAATAATGACACGATAGCACTACAACTCTTTTCTGCAACCTAGGCAACCTACAGGGTAATTCTGGCTTTCTTTTCTACGCATTTTCTTCTCATAAAGGAGACAAAGGTAAGGATTAATAGATTTGGCCAATTTTCTACGTAAAACTTTAATGACAGTCAAATCAGTGTGGAAAGTATCTTGTTAATCAGAAAACCTCAACTATAGTTTTTAACCAGAATGCAAGGAAAGATTTCGACCATATTCAAGAAATGAAACTGCATATACATATAAGGAAAAATAATTTAGTGAGTTGCTTGAAACTAAAAAAAAAAGGGGGTGGTGGTAGAGGGCTAACTATTGCTATCTGTATCTAAAAGCAATTCTAGGGATTCCTTTGAAATTTCCAAACAAAAAAACAATGATTAGAGTTGTTGACATATGATTATTTTCGCCAACAAACCTCCAAAAAAAGTCACATAAAATTCAAATGATCTAATACCACTTATACAGTATGATATCACTAACCCTCCACAAAAGATAAATATATTTGACAAAAAATAATCTCGTCTTCTGTCTCAGTGTCTGCTCCTTCATCTGGAATGGGAGCTTCTGACATGTCATAAACTGATGTGATTCTTCCCATCAACACTGTGTACAGCATTCCTTGTGTGAGCACAAGTGATCCACAAGGATTATTTCCTCATTTATTTTCACTTTGGCTGAAGTCCCTTTTATCTACTACTTCAGCTGTAGCATCCATCTCCTACTGGAAATCCCAAAGCTGCTTTTTTCAAGAGGCAACTGGACTTTCTTGCTTTTCTTTGAAGATGTTTTGCTTCTCATCCAAGAAGCTTCTTCAGCTCCTTCCATTCCCCACCATCCAGTCAGAGCTGAAGAAGCTTCTTGGATGCGAAGCGAAAGGTTTTCAAAGAAAAACAAGAAAGTCCAATTGTCTCTTGAAAAAAGCACTTTTGGGACAATCATGACCTAGATGATCGAGAATCTCCATAGACACTCTTATTGGAAAGTGAGTAACATGATCATCTCATTATAAGGATATGTGTAAAGTATTTTGAACACTGAAGAACAGCTATATAAACATTGGGCCTTAGACAGCCTGAATTGTGTGGGGTATGGAATGATCTGCAAAAAGGCCTTCTATAAATCTTTAATGATGTTCATTAAGTAAATAAAAATGCCAATTTCATGGCAAAATCCTTGCCAGCACAACTGTACACATAAAACCTTACTCATTTTGTTTAGTAGAAAAGGCAAGTTTGTGAAAAGGAAGAAGCTGAAAACAGACCTGCCTCCTCCATTTGCATGAATGAAGACAATACCAACATTTATTTTCATGACCTATGCTACCTTTCAGCCTCCAGTATTAAACCGCTGCACAATTCTTACCCACACCTACCTAGCAGCAGTTGCATCAAAAGCATGATCTTCAAGGATCGTATGGAGTCAGTAAAGCAGAGCAGGAGGGCAATTCGAGATGGCTATGTATGCATTAAATGTAATTTTCCACTGAACAAATATAATTGGATTTTTTTTTCAAATGGACACTTAATTGCAACATGTTTAAAAAGTCCAGGAATGTGTATTTATATTATGGTGACCGAAGAAACTCAAAATTGAAAAAAAAAAACCCAGACTATTACTGTACTCCTCTATGATTATCAATCCTTTAGTGCAGGATGATTATAATTATAGCTTCCTTCCAATTCCCAGGATTGTGTATTGATGTGAAACAAGGCTGCTGAGAGCAGTAGTTGTTTGTAGAACCTGCAATTTTACTATAGTCAGAGCTCTCATATTCAGTTAAATGTGAATTTCAGAGTTTTAATGCCATGGTAAAGAAAAGGATTTGATGTAAAACCTAATCATATATTTATTTTCCTCTTTAAGAGGATTGTTGCAATCAATAGCCATCAGAAACAACAAATGTGAATTTTATTTAGAAATCATAAATTTTTTTAGAAGTAGAAGCAGATTTGAAAAGCAGCTGACATTTAGCTACCATCACACCATATCTAATACAAAACCACAATCAACTATTGTTGATGCCAACACCCAGATACCTCAATAGATTTGCTCCCTGCATCTTCATGCAGTTCCCTGCTTAAGTCCAGACCAGAAGAGACACAAGTGCTGATGAGTGACATCACAGTCAGAGATTGAAGATTCGTTCAGGCCAGCACTATGGGATAGCTGCAGATTGAACCTCATCTCTAATCTCTTTAAATTTAAGGAAAATCTGAGAGACTTGATAATCTGTGATCTTAAAATAATTGAAGGAATCACTATAAATGGTTTAACACTTCTGCCAAAGGGAAAATAATGATCCATAATTACTGGATAGAAGAGGAACCCCAAAGCATAAAAAGATGCTAGAAGGGAATAGGCGAGAACAGACCTCTGTGTTACCAAGAGGGACAGAAATACAGAGAGAAAAATGGCCAAGAGAAAAGAAGAGATAATATGCAGAAGAGACTATTCGGGATGGCAGAAGCCAATGCAATGTGGTGTAATGGTTAAGGGGATGGACTATTGTGGAGGAGACAATTTATGCTCATTTTCAGCTA